TTCCCATTTGTATGATCTCTTTGGGATACAGCCCTAGAAGTGCTGTTGCTGGGTCAAAGGGCAAGAAGGCATTTTTTGAGGTCGCATTTCCAAGGCAGCTATGTGGTGCAGTGGATACTGCGCCTCATTTGGAGTGAAGAAGACCTGGGTGCAAATACTTCTTCAGATACTTACTAGCTGTGTGAAGTCACTAAATTTCTCTCAGTTTCCTCAACAGTAAAATGGAAATAATGATAGAATGAGATAATATTTGAAAGTGCTTTGTAAACTTTAAAGTGCTTTAAGAATGTTAGCTGTTCTGTTTTCCATTTTAGCTATTATTATTACCTTTTTATCTTTATCATTATTAGTTATATTATTATCACTTAGTTGTTAGTGCTCATTGCCTCCTGCTCAAATTCTCATGTATATCTTTCTCTGTTTACATGTTGTATCTTCTCAGTGGAATGTAAACTCATTGAGGTCATGGGAAGTCTTTTATTTCACTTTTGCATCCCCCAAAGGTAACATGATATAGTGAATAGAGAGCTGATCTCTGAATCAGGAAGACCTAGGATTAAGTCACGCCATTTACAGAGACTAACTGTATGACCCTGACATTCATTCTACCTCTCAATGCTTCAGACATGTTCCTAATCTACCAATTGCAGAGAAGCTTTAGGTCTGCATCCGCACAGAGGGTTTTCTCACAGGTAATTCCTTATATCAGTGAAATCACAAGTCTGGGCATGCATGCACGCACACACACACACACACACACACACACACACGCACAAACATGCGTTCCTAAATAACCAACACATAGTAGGCATTTAATAAATCGGTGTTAGATAGAAATGGAGAGTCTCCTCAAGTACCCTAAGGTATTTTTTGAGATCCCACATGTAACAGAGAGGTAGATTTGGCAGGCAGCAGGACGAATTGGATTTTCGATCTGTTGAGTTTGAGGTGTTTGCAAGAATAGGGCCAGTTGGCTCCCCGTGACCACACTGGGGGTAGAAGGACCAGCTTGCAGATAAAAGCTTCACTTGGCTCAGCCAATATAGAGCATAATAAAAGCCCTTTTCATAAACACTAGCCAGCTGCTTTGATCCAGTTGCTTGAAGCCATGTTCCCGCCTTATCTCTCTGCCAAATCATGACTTCTGTGGTACGCTCAGACTCCATTTTCAATTACTGCCCTAGTTTTCCCCACAAATGTTGATATTCATCTTCATACAGACTCCACCCAGTTTTCTCTCTCCAGTTTCAAATTAACCAAGATTGACATAGGACCCCACCTTACACTTATACAAGTCCCAAAATCTCTGTAAGGAAACCATAGGCCTACCGCCATCACTGGAATCCCAGTCTACACTTCTGGCTAATGTTCCTTAGAATCATTCCCAGGGACCTTATGGCTGTTTCTGTGCTAATCTTTGGCCACAAAAGGCAATAAACTCTAAGCTCATGCGTGCTCGGAATAATGCTGGCATGCTGTTCAGATGGAGATGTCCAGCTAGCAACTGAAAATAAGGAACCACAGCTCAGGATTTCACATACAAATTTGAAAGTTATTAGTATACAGTCATGGGAATAAATGCAATTGCCAAAGGAGAGAACATAAATGGGGAAGACGGCTGAGGTCAGAGCCTTAGATGATGCCCATATTTAGGAAGCAGGAGGAGGATAGAGAGTCAGCAGAAGCAGAGGAGAGGACAGAGAGACAAGGAAAGAATTAGAAGAGTACAGTGTTATGTATGCCGAGGAAGAGAGAAGAGTGTTCAGAAAGGGGAGAGTCTAACCATGCTAAATGCTATGAAGAAGCCAAGAAAATAGGATTGTAAAAAGGACAGCAGATTTGGAAATCAGTAAATCTTTGGGGTTGGGGGTGTGTGAGTAGTTTTAGTTGAATGAAGAAGATGGAAGCCAGATCAAAGGGGATTGAAGAGTAAGGGGGTGGTGAGAAAAGGGAGTAGCAAATGTAGGTTACTCTTCCTAGAAATTTGGCAATAAAGGAGAAAGGAGAGCTGGAGAAGTAACTTGGCTCAAGGGAAGGGACTATTTTGTTTTATTTTGTTTTAAGGACAGAAGAGGTCTAAGAATTTTTGTAGCCTAGAGGGATTAGGCAACCCATGAGGTCCCTTCCGACTCTGAAACTCCATGGTTCTTTATTTCTACAATTTTATGACAGAATCAGGGACTGAACATGAACAGCATTAGTGGCTACTATCTACACTCACCTGTAAGATGTCTTTATTATGTGAAGCTCCTCCAGTAGCCAGAATCTTGGTACTTGGCACTGCAAAAGAAAAGAGTGAAGCTGAGATTGGTTTGATCAAGCTTGCTTATCATTTATGTCTGTTTGTTACAAGCTTATGGCCACAGATTGTCTTTAATCTTGTTTCCTTCTTACGGAAAGAGAAATAGAATTTCAAACCCTTTGGTTTTTTTCCCCAATTTTTTAATCTTTTTATTTAAATTTTTGAGTTTCATATTCTATCCCTCTCTCCCTTCCTTTCCCCCTCCTTGAGATGGTAAATAATCAAATATAGATTATACATGTGAAATTATGTAAAACATTTTGTATAGGAAGATGCGAATAAAAGAAAAAATGAAAGAAAGTGAAAAAAGCACTCTTCAGTCAGGATTCAATCCATACCAGTTCTTTCTCTGGAGGTGGATAGTATGCTTCATCATTAGTCCTTTGGGATTATCTTGGATCATTATATTGCTGAGAATAGCTAAGTCATTCACAGTTCTTCATGGTATAATATTGCTGTTACTGCATACAATGTTCTCCTGGTTCTGTTTACTTCCCTATACATCAGTTCACATAAGTCTTTTCCAGATTTTTCTGAAATCATCCTGCTTGTCATTTCTTATAGCACAATAATATTCCATTACAATTGTATACCATAGCTCGTTTAGCCATTCCCCAATTGATAGGCATCTCTTTGATTTCCAACTCTTAACCACCACAAAAAGAGCTGCTATAAATATTTTTGTACATAGTCCTTTCCCTTTTTTTGGATGTCATTGGGATATAGACCTAACAGTGCAAATCCTTTGTTCTTAAGTCTTGCCCCATACAAAGTATAGTACAAGGTGGTTAAAAGGAGATGTTAACTTTATCCTATTGTGTTCCCAAGGCATGTGTTAATGTAGATTGTGGCCACACATACTGATGAAAGGAATGGTTAGGAAGGGAATGATAGCCAAGGCCTCTGATTCCTTCCTGAGCAAAGACTCCCTTATGAATCCCAATGCACAGCCTGCCCAATCAGACCCATCTTCATGAGTTTCCAAGAGTGCAGACTATAGTGACTCATAAGAACTTTCTAACAATGACAATATCATGGCTGGTTGTCCTAGGAGGCCAGGAACTCCCCATCACTGGAGGTACTTAAGCAAATTCTGGATTTCAGCCAGGCATTCTTGGCCTTTTTGTGTGTCATGGACCCCTTTAGAAGTCTGGTAAGGTTTATGAACCACTTCTCAGAATAATGTTTTTAAATAATTGATAATTATTATGTAATAATAGTATAATAATAACAATGTGACAATAATAAGTAATTGAAGGACATGCTAAATTTCGGTTAGAGGATAGTAAAAATGAAAGCATATGTTTTCTCATCCAAGTTCAAGTCTAAGAACCCCTGAAATCTACCTTAAGATCATATTAAGAACCCATGATTTAAGCAGGCTACTGTCAGGGATGACAAAGAGAGGATTCCTGATTTGGGTGGATAGTGGTTTCTAAATTCCTTTCCAACTCTGAGATTCTATGATTCTCCCTATGAAGAATGTAGTGAGAAAGAATAAATTAAATAGTGACATGTTCATAAACTCAAAGCTAAAGAGGAATCTTCAAGGTCATCTAGTCCAAATCCTTCTCAAATTATAGATGAGGAAACTGAGGCCCAAATAAATGAAATCACTTGAACCTCAACCTCCTGATTCCAAATTCTGTCCTCTTTTCACTATTATATAATCTTGGGCCAGATGTCTTGATACTTCAATGTATCTTAATTCAGTGAAGGTCTCTAGGCCTCGTCTTTATGCCCAGGAACCACACCCTTAGGCATTCCACTCAATCTGACCCAAACCAAGAATAGCTTCTTGCCCCCAGAACATCTTGTCCTTCAGTGGGCTTAGGACTGATTTACTCTATTCTTCACCATACAATCTTGAATCAAGCCTCAGCAACCAAGGCATCCTCCAACCCTTTTGCCTCCAAGATGAAAAATATAATCCGCTGGCTTTTAAAGTCCTTCAAACCTGTCTCCTTTCTAGTCTCCTTGCATTTGACTCTCCCTTCCATGTACCCTACAATTCAGTGACACTGGTCTTCTGGCTGTCGTTGCATGTGACATTCTATTTCTGGATTCTTTGCATTTTCATTGGCTGTCTCCCATGCCTGGAATGCTGTCCCTCTTTCCCCTTCCTTTACTGGCTTCCTTTAGGACTCAGCTCTGACTCCATCACCTGCAGGAAGCCTTTTCTGGTCATCATCTTCCCTCTACTAATATTGCCCTCTCTATGAAATTGCTTCTCATTTACCCTGTATATATCTTGTATGGTACATATTTGTTTACATGTCTTCCCCACTAGAATGTGACCTCCTGAAGACAGGGGCCTTGTTTTGTTTTTCTTTTTGGCCTTTGTATGACCAGGAAAGCCTGAAGTCTGTCACAGAGGAAGCTTAATAAATGTTTGTTGACTGACTTACCAACTGGTGAGCTTTGGGCTCTCTGCCTGAACATTTGTAGATAATCAAACCAGCTAATTAAGTAACTCACTTCTCCCAAACAGGAGAAAGGGAAAATATTATAACCTAATAAAAATAGGCATAATAATACAAGAGTATTTCTACCTCAAAAATGCCCAAAGTTTCATGCTAGGGTTAAAACACTTTCTGTAGGAACATGTCTCTGAAATTGCAATGGTAGCCAGTGGGAAAGTATGATTCAGTGTATACACATTTACTTTACAGATAGGTATTCAGGGATGTAGCAAATGCATAACACCAAATTATAGACCGCTACCAGATTTGTGGCTGCTTGAAGTCACAAATCTTCATGGTCCGAAGGTCCCATCACTGATGGTAACTGCCTTCACTTAAATAGAGCTTCCATTTTTGTAACTGCTGATGGCACTCTAGCTTGTGTGTCTCTGTCTGTATGCCTATCTGCTGCTATGGTTTCTGGGCTAAGCACAGCTGCCTTGAGCCTGTAAATCCCTAAAGCATTTTTTGCCTTCTACCCTGTTGGTGGTTGCACTTTGAGATCACCATAAAGCAGCTGCTTGGACTGTGAGGAATCCCCCAGGTCAGAGACCCTTAATTCACAGAAAGTCAGATCAAAATAAGACACAGATCCTCTCTGGGTTAGTAAATATCTAGTTCAGATTCTGGTTAGCTCTCCATAAACTATAAATATCTGAGCCCCAAGTTGGGGATAGAGACATTTATCTCTTTTAGTCCCTGACCAATTTTAGGCTTGATAGCCCTGGCCACACCTTGATTTGTAAGAACTCTGGCTTCCCCCTTTTCCCAGCATCTGTTCCTTCCTTCCTTTCTTCCCTCTCTACCACATACCAAATAGATTGAGTCTGCTTTTCCTAGGGCTTACTCAAAAGGGAAAGAGAGGTAGACAGATACAATGGGAAGAATGCTGGCCTCGGAGATAGAAGACCTGGACTTGAATCCTGGCTCTGACATTTACTAGCTGGGCCAATCATTTAATTGCTGTATGCCTTGGTTTTCTCATATATCTCCATTTTTGCTTGAGGTCAGTGGTCCAGAAGAATTAGAATAATTCACAGCTCCACCAGTGTTGAATTAGCACACCTTGTGCTTATTTTTTAATCATTTTTAATAATAACTGAGTGTTTATAGAAAATTTGGATTTTAAATATACTATCATGTCATCTTTAAATAATAATGATATTTTGACCTCTTTATTTCCAATGTTAATCACTAGAATGTGTTTTCCTTACCTTGTCAAAACTGCTATAATTTTCATCACTTGTTAAATAAAAGCAATGGGAGTGGTCATCCTTGTTTTGTACCTGCTTTTAGTGGGATTGCTTCTAATGTTTCTCCACTACATATTATGTTGACTGTTGGCTCAAGGTAGAAATTTTTTTATTGTGTTAAGTCCATGTCTATTCTTTGTTTTGGAAAGTTTTTTAAAAATTATTTTTATTATGAACTAAATATCAAAAAACACAAAGATGTGGAATTATGCCACCCCCCCAAAGTCCTTCAAATGTACATGTCCTCTGAGCCAGCAATATAACTTCTAGGCATTGACCCCAAAGGAATTAAAAAGAGAAAAAGTACTCAAATGTACACAAATATTTATAGCAGCACTTTTGTAATATCAAAGGAGTTGGAAACCAAGACTAGGAAATGGCTGCATGCACAATAAGAAGTGATGAATATGACAGGTTCAGAGAAACATAGGAGAACTTGTATCAACAGATGCAGAGCAAAGTTAGTAGGTCCAAGAAATCTATATGGTGACTACAGTACTGTAAAGAGAAACAACTTTGAAAGACCAATTTGACTTCAGAAGACTATTGACAGAATTTGTTTCCTACCTCCTGGCAAAGAGGTGATGGACTAAAGATACAGAATTAGATATACATTTACAGATACAATAATTTTGTCAATTTGTTTTGCTTGGCTATAGAGACTTGTTAACATGGTTGGCTTCTATTTGGAGAGAAAGTACGTGGAAATGGTGGATAGCGATAGTGATACAAAAAAAGAGCACCAGTAAAACATTTTAAAAATAGAAGAGAACAGAAGGAAATTCAGAAAGGTGCACTTGCAAGCAGGGGAGTTTTATTACATCATACAAGTTTAAAATAAATGGAAAAAATAGACTATACAAGAAATTCATGATTTTTTGTACAATCTCGTTTTCTGTTCTTTGTGTGCGGAATTATCTGTTGACATTCGCATTCATGATAAAAAGATAATTTCAAAACTTTCTAAAACAAAGACTATAGAGGGATTTTTCCTCAACACAATAAAAAATATCTATCTTAAGCTCAGAGCCAACATAATATTTAGTGTAGATATATTAGAGACAACCCCACTAAAACAATTCCTCTTCATGCTAGTGCATTCCCTCAGAGATTATCTTCAATTTATACTGTATATATCTTGCTTTCAGATACTTTTTCCACATTATCTCCTCCATCAGATTGTGTGTTCCTTTAGGGCATGAACTGATTTTGCCTTTCTTTGCATACTCAGCATCTAGCATAGTGCCTAGCTCATAGTAGCTG